AAACTAAAATCTGATCCAGCTTCAGGAAATGAGAGTGAGGCCAGGGAAGGAGGTCACCCAGGGCCCCAAGGACAGTCACATTAACCTCATCATCAATTGCTAATGGGTCTATTCCACCAGGACTCATAGGGCCTTGTGCAGAGGTAATGGTAAAAATTGAGACTGTGGACTGCAATGTTGTCCTATCCAGGATCTCAAGTTACCATCATTTCCCAATCTTTTTCTAACAGATATTTGGGTAAAATACCTTTGAAATCTATGACAGGCTAGCCCCCTTTGTAGATGACATGATAGTATACTTAGAGAATCAATTAAAAAACTAGTTGAAATAATTAACAACTTTAACAAGTTACAGGATAGAAAATAAACCCACATAAATCATCAGCATTTCTATATATTACCAACAAAGTCCAGCAACAAGAGATAGAAAGAAAAATTCCACTTGAAATAACTGCAGATAATATAAGATATTAGGGAGTCTACCTGCCAAGACAAACCCAGGAACTATATGAACACAATCACAAAACACTTTTCACACAAATAAAGTCAGATCTAAACAACTGGGAAAATATCAGTTGCTCTTGGGTAGGCCAAGCTAATATAATAAAAATGACGATTCTACCTAAATTAATTTACTTATTCAGTGCCATACTAATCAAACTACCAAACAATAATATCAAAATTTATCTGAAAGAACAAAAGGTCAAGAATATCAAGGAAGTTAATGAAAAAAAAAAAGTAAAGGAAGGTGGCATAGCCGTACCAGATCTAAAACTACATTATAATTCGGCAATCACCAAAACTATTTGTACTAAGAAATAGAATGGTAGATCAGTGGAATAGATTAGGTACACAAAACACAGTAGTAAATGGCACTAATAATGTACTGTTTGATAATAAGAACTCATTATATGACAAAAAACTGCTGGGAAAACTGGAAAATAGTATGGCAGAAACTAGACATAGATCAACACCTCACACCATATACCAAAATAAGGTCAAAATGGGTACATGATTTATACATAAAGGGTAATACCATGAACAAATTAGGAGAGCAAGGAATAGTTTACCATTCAGATCTATGGAAAGGGGAAGAATTTATGACCAAACAAGAGATAGAGAACATTATAAAATACAAAATGGATAATTTTGATTACATCAAGTTAAAAAGTTTTTTCATAAACAAGACCAATGCAACCAAGATTAGAAGGAAAGCAGAAAGCTAGGAAACAATTTTTACAGCCATTGTGTCTGATAAAGGCCTCACTTCTCAAATATATAGAGAAATGTGTCAAATTTATAAGAATACAAGTCACTCCCCAAATGATAAACGGTCAAAGGATATGAACAGGCAGTTTTCAGATGAAGAAATTAAAGCTGTCTATAGTCATGTGAAAAAAATGCTCTAAATCACTACTGATTAGAGAAATGCAAATTAAAACAACTCTGAGGTACCACCTCATACCTAACAGATTGGCTAATATGACAGAAAAGGAAAATGATAAATGTTGAAGGAGATGTGGGAAAACTGGGACACTAATGCACTGTTGGTGGAATTGTGAACTAATCCAGTCATTCTGGAGAGCAATTTGGAACTATGCCCAAAGGGCTATAAAACTGTGTATACCCTTTGATCCAGCATATCATTCCTAGGTTTATATCCCAAAGAGATTTTAAAAAACAAAAAGGAAAAGGACCTATTTATGCAAAAATATTTATAGCAGCTCTTTGGCAAAGAATTAGAAATTGAAGGAATACCCATCAATTGGGGAATAACTGAACAAGTCTTGGTATATGCATGCAATGGAATACTATTGTGCTATATAAAATGATGAGCAAGCCGATTTCAGAAAATCCTGGGAAGATTTATATGAACTGATGCTGAGTGAAGTGAGCAGAACCAGGAGAACACTGTCCACAGTAACAGTAACACTGTGCAATGATCAACTATGAATGAGTTAGCTCTTCTCAGTAATACAATGATCCCAAACAATACCAAAGGACTCATGATGGAAAATGCTATCCACATGCAGAGAAAGAACTATGGAATCTGAATGCAGATCGAAGCATACTATTTTCACCTTTTTATGTTTTTGTTTTTCTTTCTCATGGTTTTTCCCTTTGTTCTGATTCTTCTCTCACAACACGACTAATGTAGAAATATGCTTAACATGATTGCACATGTATAACCTATATCAGATTATTTGCCATCTTGGGGAGGGGAGAGGGGAGGGAGAAAAATTTGGAACTCAAAATGTTATAAAAAATGAATGTTGAAAACTACATGTAATTAGAAAAAAATATATAATTTACCCCCAAAAAAGGGAAAAAAGTTAAAAAATAAATCTATGACAGGGCTTGGACTGGATGATCACTTGAATGATAAAGACTATCCATACCTGGGATACATCCAGGTGAGCTTGAAATTTCCCAAAGGAAGTTGTCAGTGTCAACAGAATAGTAGAAACTGTGACCCTGGTCTCTTCAGACTCTCCAACACTCACTGGAATGTTGGCACTGATTGGAGCTGATTCTAGTGTTCCATATTTGAAAAGGATAGTGCAAGAAAAAAGGAGACAGTTCTATTGAGAAACCTTGGCATTCAAGGAACTCACAAGTCAGGTAACCAATGGAAACCAATACAAAGTTATTTAGAGTGTGGCCAAATCGCCTGTTTACAAAACAGCCCTATAGAATGGAGGAGGCCCAGTCAGAATTATTCATAACCACCTATTGCCCATAGGAGAGTTAGTTCAACTAACTAATGAGCAGGTGGAGAGAACTGATAGACATTTAGCTGGACAAAGGATGAGATAGAGACTGTCCTCCAGCTGTTTAAAGACTTTCTGACTGAAAATGTTGTATCCAGGGAAGGAGACAGTATAATTATTCCATGGTAGGAGAATTGAACCCTTTCAACTCCTTTCCTTCCATAACTATTACTGAGACACCTAGGGTACAGATTTAACCCACAAAGCTCCAACATACTGATAGCCAACCTGACCTAGCTGCCCGCCCAGGTGTAAACACACAAATCTATAATGACCCTGATGGTCAGCCCATACCAACTAGTATTTTGGAAGCAGAGAGATCATTCAGTGACAAGAGATCTAGGCCTCTTAGACCACTCACTAGGCTAAGTTATGCTATCATAAGAGGTAAACCTGAAGATAGAGTAAGTGATAGTGCTAGAGATTGCCTATGTGAAACAAGCTTTGCTTGTAATTACATGTTCACTGTTATACACGTGAATTACTACATATTTGAGTATGTTTGTTTCTTACCCTGCTGTTATGTTCATTTGAGTATGTTTTGTGTTATGCTCATGTTATAACAATGTCTATTGTTTCAGCTATATGTCACTTCTTTTAGCTGTCTTCTCTATATAGGCCTATTGATAGTGTCATTATTGCAGATAGTTAGCTTTACTTCATTAGTGACACTTGCTACTTTTGATTTATTGCTGTGTACTATGGATATGCATGTGACTCTCAAAATGTACATGTTATATCTTGTATATAGGTTGGGCATATTGTCACTGTCATATCCTCCCAGATGATGTTCCACATAGTGCCACATCTACAGCATGTACTGTTAATGTGCATTTATTTTATTTCAAATCCAATGGTACCAAAGGTTGGTTATCTGGGATGCCAGGGAAATCACCTTTGTTGTTTCAAAGCACTCACATTTGTGTTTATGTTGTACCATTACAGGTTTTGGACTTGCCCAGCTGATCTTTGCAAAGACTTCAAAGAGTTTGGCCCAAGAGAACAACGTTACCTGAGCTCCAAAGTCCATTGGTATGGGATTCTCTCCTCCTTGGTAGAAATTTATTATGCAATGTCCCTTGGCCCCGTGAGAGGAGAGCACAGTTGGTGAGAGCCAGAGAGAAGAGAGATCTAGGGTCTTCTGGCTTCCCTCTTCAAGAGAGAAGTGATTCCAACTTCTCTTCAGGTTCATAATGGGAGAAACACTCTGAGAAGGAGCTGATGTGGAGAAGCTGGCAATCTATCATGTCCTTATCTCTAGCCTGCTACACTGAAAGCTTTGGGGAATTTCCCCTTGGGTGAGATTTGGGACTCTCAGTTGAGCTGAGTTATCTCACATCCAAAGGGAGAGATCATTCACTGCGTATTGTCTCGTATATATTCTCATAAGCATACTTTCTCTGATTTCTGGTTTGCAATCTACTTAGATAAATGGGATTATCTGCTATGTATATATGTATTCATTGTGGAACTGCATCTGGGGCACTCCTTCGCCATTAGGGGGATAGTGATTACAAGTGCAGTTTGAACTTTAAAATTATTTCCTCTAGAATAACAATATTTAAAGGAGCAGGTACATATCATGCTAAAGGAAGTGAGTCTCTGTCCCTGTCTCTCCTTCCTCCTCCCCCCCCAAATCTACTTCCCTTCGGAGCAAGAATCAAAGTTTCCCTTGGAAAAAGGGAAGGGGAGAGAGGAGACGCTAGGCATGTATCTATTCCTGTTTTCCTGGGAGTCACAGCCAGGCAGAACCATGTGCACACACATAACCTGCATGAGTCAATAGAAGAGAAGACATTTCAGAGTACATTTCTGTGAGACACCCACAGTTAGTGAGCATGACCCGGAAGATGATCCAGCAAAGGACACTGGGAAAGCGCAGCAGGAGCACGTGATTCATTGAAATTCCGTCTTCATTTCTTGTTTCCCTTTCTCAGACCTCTGCTAAAGAGCTCTCCCTGCTGGTCTAGATCCGATAAAAGTTGTTGGTGAAGGGGGATTCTGGGACAGGCGGGTACTTCCTCGTCAGCTGCTGCACTGTGGCCCTAGGTGGGGTGGGGCCACGGAGTGGGACTGAACCAATGGGAGCAGCTTGACGGGAAGCGCTGGGTCAGTGAGAGGGGAGGTCAGGAAAGGTCTGCGTCCATAGGAGGAGAGGAGGAGGAGGGCGGAACCGACCAATGGGAGAGCACGGCAGGGGCGGGGTTGGCCCAGAGTGGCAGGCGGCAGAAGTCACCTGAGCATCTCTACCCTGCGAAGGTTTTCTGCAGTCATGGCGAAGGTGTCTCTGGCTGCTACGCCTGAAAGAATGTCTGGCAAGTCGGCGGCTTGGCTTCTGGCGTCGCCGTCGCCTTTGCTTCTGCTACTGGCGCTGCTAATAGCCGCCGCGCCGGCGGCTGCGGAACATCAAGTGCCACTGGTGCTCTGGTCGAGCTCTCGGTGAGCAGGGTCGGGAAAGGGGAAGGAAGCCGGGGCCTGGCGGGGTCGGGGGAGCCAAGGTTAAGGGGCCGGGGCCTGGTGGACCCGGAAAAGCAGAAGGAAGCCCGGGCTTTGGTTCCTAGGCCAGCCCCCAGAGCCGAGGGGGCTTTGGATAGGGTTCGAGGTTCTTGTTTGTTGTCCAAATCTCTTCCCAAGGCAGGAACACACTTTGCAGGGAAAGGGATTCTTGATTCTATTTAAATTGGGGTCTCTTGTCAACTCCTAATTACAGACATGGGGCACAAAGCCTGTGCCCTCTCCCCAACCTCTGATGACAGTTTGTTCTTTTTTACTTGTGGCAGTGATTTGTGGGCTCCACTTGAAAATGCCCACGAAGGTCACATCACTACGGATATCCAACTTTCCTCCTACCTAGACCCTGCCCTGGAGAAGGGACCCCGAAACGTATTGCTGTTCCTGCAGGAAAAAGTAAGCAAGACCCTTATCCTATTGCCCCACTCTCAGGAGTAGAGAGAAAGAAGGCTAGACAGGTGATTGCTGCAGTTTTGAGGAGGCAGAATCTTTGAATTTCAGGCATTTTGTGTTCAAATGTTGCCCTGCCCCTTCCACAGCAACCTCCTTGTGTCACATGGTACCCTCCAAACTCATCTTTATGACTGGGGGAGGATTCTTTGTTCTGACTTATTTGGACCCTTCCTCTTCCCTAACCACTGATGTGAGGCAGAAAGAGGAGTCCTATCACCCACCTGAGAAGTTAGCCCGTGAAGGAGAGAGTGGGGAAGAGCAGGGTGATTTCCTACCTAGAACAAGGACAAAAAGAACTATTGTAAAAGTAGTATATGAGAAGTACATAAAAGCCATCTAGAGGTAGCAGGAGAGATCTGTTGTTAATGTTCTCATCTACATTGGGGAAGGGGAAATATGGGTAGGTTTGTATATCAAACACAAGCCAGGCAAGCTGGTGAAGGTCACCTCTGGTCACAGTGGGGTTAATGTTCTCAGCTAGATTGGGGGAATGGAGAAGATGGGTGGGTATGTATACCAAACACGGGAAAGTCACCTCTGGGCTTGACTGGAAAAACTGGAGTAGGCTGGACAGGATGTGTTTGGTGCCTGGAGCCCTAATCCTGCCTGCAGACTCTCCCTTCTCTAGGCCATCCTCCACACAACTGCCAAATTGAATGGATGTTCATAAAGCACAGGTCTGATCACATACCTTGTTGCCTCTAAAAATGCCTTGGCTTTTAAAGTCATTCCCTGCCTGGTTCCAGCCTGCCTTTGCAGGCTTATTAAACATTATTCCCCTTCTTCTCTGTTTCAGTCCAGCTGGCTTACTGTTCCTGATTCCACACCTTCCTTTGCACAAGTTGTCTACCATGGCTGGAATGTTCTCCAGCCTCACCTTTGCCTTTTGGAAACCCCTAGCTCCCTTCTAGTAATTGGGGGTGGAATGGGATGATGTTTGATGGGAAGAGTAAATGTGTAATGAACCTGGAAGAGTAGGCTAGAGGTAGGTCATGAAAAGCCGTGAGGAGTGTTAAGATGGGCACATCTACAGGCAACTGCAAACAACATCCAGCTACCCTGTATTTGCTTCTATGGAGCAGGTTGTCTTTCCCTAGTAAATATAATGTGAGCTCCTTGCGGGTGAGACTTGATTGACTTATAATTGTATTGCTGGTACAGTACCTGGCATTAGGTGAATGTGACACCAGCCCCCTCTCCAGTTGGACCTTTTTACTGGGAGGGCTTTTTATCCTACTCTCAAAGGAAGTGTTTCTTTATGGTCTGCATTTGTCTCCAAATGCTAGATAGTTGGAATCGGGCCCTAGCACGTTCAGACCTCTAGAGAAGAACTCCCAGGGAGCAGAGATAGGTAGGCTTCATAACATTTTTCCATTCTAAGTCAAGCTTGGAGCCATTTAGATGCCTCCCCAAAAGTGGGGAGATAGCAGTGGGGAGTTCCAGAGTAGCTCAGGCCCTGTTCCTGTTCTGTTTTCTTCCTCTTTCCCCTACCCCCAGCTTCCTCTTGCCTGGTCACATGCTCTGCCAGATGATACTTTATGGTTGCCACAGCTTAGCTAGCTGCTGATTTCTTCCTGATCTGGTGACTAGATCACTGTTTGAACTTCTCAAGAAGGACTACCAAGAACAATGAATGGTCCTGTCATTTTTCCCCCATGGGAAGGTGGCAGACTGGATAGGTTCTCCCTTCAGGTTCCCTACCCCATTGTACTCTGGGAGAATGTTGCCTTGTCTTCAAGTCTGAAGGTGCTTCTTTTTCTGCCTCTCTTTTAGTTAAGCATTGAGGATTTCACTGCATATGGTGGTGTATTTGGCAACAAGCAAGATAGTGCTTTCTCTAACCTGGAGGTAAGGCACCTTCCCTTTCCTCTGCTTAGGTTCCCTTGTTCACATTATGTCAAGGGCTTATTCTTTATCTTCCAGCCGCCAAGGACACTCCCCAGAACCAGTGTTAATGACTTCCTGGTTGACTGGGATTTGGGGGAAAGGGAAGGCTGTAGGATTTGGGAATGTTGAGTCTGGAGTTGGGGCCTTTTAACCTGGACTACAGGGCTCTAGGAGCTGGGCAGGAAATGCTCTAACCTCGAAAGTCCTGGTAGAGATTATAGAATGCTTTGAAATCCACAGAGAGCTGCTGGAGAAGTCAAGTGGTAAGGAGAGAGTGGGAGAGGGAGGAAAAGATAGGGTTTTAAAGGGATATTGAAGAAGTATGTGACTGACTTAGGAGGGAAAGGGAGTTGTATGTCCCTTTCTTGCCTGACTTTTCAATCCTCAGAGTGCTCTGGAATTGGCTCCTTCTTCCTTGATCCTGCCTTCAGTGGACTGGTATGCAGCCAATACTTTGACCTCTTACCTGAAGGAGAAGTTGGGAGCTAGTCCCCTCCATGTAGACCAGGCCACCTTGAGGGAGCTGAAGCTCAACGACACCCTCCCTGCTCTACTTCTCCTGAGACTGCCATATACCACCAGGTACTGGCCAGCCTGGCCTTTCTGGGGACACGAGGAGCTATCCACAGAGCCCAGGCCAGTTTTTATAAGCAAGGCCTTTGCTGAAAACTCTGCCAGGAAAGTGGAAGACAGGCTCCCGTTCTCTGGGGTCAAGACAACTGCTCTTGACAGTCTGGGCCCAGTGACAAGTGGGCTGTTTGGAGTCCATTCAGTGCTTGGGAGGGAGTTGTTCTCCCCTGGGCCATGAGCAGGTCCTCACAGAAGAGTTGAGCTTCATCTTGAAGGAGATTTAAGAAAAAGTTCTCTAACTTGTATTGATCTTTCTTATGAATATCCTTATCCTTCTTTTATGAATATATCTCCCTTTGCCTTCTCTTCCCCAGTCATCCCTCAGAATAAAGTATGTTTCAAAAGATAGTTGAAATTTACATTTTCACTCACATTTTTATAGCTAGGGCTTTAGGGATCATAGAATATTTCTCAAAGAAACCTTGTGAGGTGGATAGGGATTTCTCGGGATAGAAATGGGGTCTTCCATATGGGAAGAACAGGAGGCAGTGATTGAGCCTGGCATAGAACCAGTGATGGCCTTGCCAGTGTTGGAGTAGTAGATGGTGAAACTGGAAAGGGAGACTGCACCAGCTTGTGGAAAAGAGGGCCTTGAATTCCAGGCTAGTGGGCTTTAAGGAAGACTGAAGCATACGAAGTTTCTGGGGATATCCATGTACTTGTCTCTGGTTGCTGAGAGCTAAAGGCTGTCTTGCCCCAGGAACCTTCAGCTTTCTCACTCTCTCCAGACTTCATTTCAGTTCAGACTCTTCCTCTGGGTGGGGACAGGCAAGTAAGGAGGTCTCATTTTTTGTCTCTGACAGTTCTGGCTTGATGGCTCCCAAAGAAGTACTCACAGGCAACGGTGAGTTGAGGTAGAAGAGCCCTTCCAGCCCTCCACACACCGCTTGGTGGAGCTCTTCCAACTTCCCCAAGCAGTCTGAACCACCCACTGTCTTCCTGCAGGCTACCTGCCAGTGGCAGAGTACTGGCATTTGGAAATGGAAAATGTGGACTGGTAGAAAGAGGGCTGGGTTGGTAATCTTGAAGACCTGGCTTTGAACCCCTGCTCTACTCGCCTTTGTGGCTTTAGGCAAATGACTCCTCTTATCTAGGCCTAGGTTTGCTCTGAAGAATGAGGGAGCTGAACTAAATGTCCTCTTAAGTCCCTTCAGTTCAAAATCTAGGGACCTGTGAGATGCCCATCCAAGTGCTCCAACATAATTCCAATGGCTTAAATCGTGGCGAAGCACTCCCAGCACTCCAAAGGTCTGTCTGTCACGGGTATCTGGTCAGTGTGGGAGAAGGCTCTTGGCAAATGATCCACTCCCAGCAAGTGCCTCAGAACCCTGACCTAAAGATCCTGGGAAGTCTGAGGGGATAGAGAATGTAAGGAGGACAGCCACTGTCATGATCTAACCATCTTTTTCTCTCTCTCCCCTCCCTCCCCCCCCAAAAAAAGATGAGATTATTGGGCAGGTGTTGAGCACACTCAAGTCAGAAGGTGTACCCTACACAGCCATACTGACTGCCGTTCAGCCTTCCCGGGTAAGCTGCCATACCGACTTTGGTAGAGATGAGAAAAGGGCTAGGCTGGGCCAGAAGTGTAAGTAAGCCAATACATCTATTGGCTACCCCACCCAGTGTGTGGAGAAGTGTTGGCATTTAGGAGGGGTCCGACACCAGAGCCCCTTCCCTCCAGGATTTCACTTTGTCAGGATCATGTAAGAATAAGTCCAGTTTGGTTATAGCTTCAAGTATAAGGAGGGGAGCGGTGGAAAATCAGGCAGTTTGAAACTAGATTGTAGAGGGCTTTATCCTGTAAGCAGTAGGGAGCCATTGGCAGGTTTTATGGGGCTGAGGGTGACAAGATCAGAATTTTGCTCTTGGGAAGGTTAATCTGGTAGTTTGTGTAAAGACTTAGGAGTGAGACTAGAATCAAGGAGACCAATGAGTAAGCTTTTTTTTTTTTTCGTCCTGCTTCGTGAGGCAATTGGGGTTAAGTGACTTACCCAGAGTCACACAGCTAGTGTTATGTGTCTGAGGCCAGATTTGAACTCAGGTCCTCCTGACTCCAGGGCCAGTACTCTATCCACTGTGCCACCTAGTTGCCCCAAGTGAGGAAGCTTTTGCAGTAATCCAGTTGGGAGGTGATTTGCAGGCATTGTAGAGGGCCTAGGCCCAATCTCAAGGTTTAGAAAGGTGGGGACAAATGATGGATGGGAGAAGGGTTTAGGAAGAGTAGGGTCAGCTGCATTTGGTGGGGGCCAGAGAGGAGGGATCAGAGATGCCTCACTGGTCACAAAAATGGACCAGTTAGGAGGAGGCACTTGGTGTGGGCATTGCAACAGTAAAGTGAGTTGTAGATCTGGTGAGCTTCTGGGGTGGAATGAGTGGATCATCAGGTGCCTGCTGTTGGCTCTTGTTGGCTTTCCCAGATAAGGCATATCTTTTTCAGGTGGTTCGGGACTTGTCGCTGGTGTCTGCGGGTCTGGGGCGGCACCTCCTTGCGGAGGATGAGCCTCTACCACCCTTACTGCCTTTCCTGCCTCCAGTCAGCTACAATGATACAGAGCCTCGAATCCTCTTCTGGGCCCAGAACTTCACAGTGGCCTATAACAGTGAGTCACGTGACCTGACTGCACTCACTTTTGGAGCCCCAACACTCAACCTGACTGGCTCCAGCTGGAACAGCTCCTTTGCCCAGTAAGTGGGCTAGTCAGGGTAAAGAGCTCTGGGAGGGAGCTGGTGTGGGGAGAGCATCATAAGCAAATGAGAAGAGGCCTGTGGTGTGACTGAACATGGGTAAAGTGGAACTTAATATATGTACCAGGATGGTGAGGGCAGCTGTAGGAGGGGGGGTAAAGAAGGTTGAGTTGGAAGTTGGAGACCCAGGTTCTAGGCCTGGCTCTGGTGTTAATTGACCTGACCCTTCTTAGACACTGAACCAACTGAACAGATATTTAATACAAGCTCATTGACAGCAGAAATTGATCTAGGGGTGGGGGTGAGAGGGGTAGCGGCACAGTTAGTGGGAACCTTCCTGCCTCTCGGGGCACTGTTTCTATGTCTATAGCTATTACACCTAGATAGCACTGGGACAGGTGAGGAGAAAGCCCTGCCTCTGGGGTAGTGTGCTGCTGCCTCCCTGGGCTGTTACCTGTGAGGTAAGGAACTGGCCAGTCTCTCTTTGTGGAGACACCTAGTTGTAAGTTGGGAAAATCTATCTCCCAGACAAGATAACGAAGAGGGAATAAATCCCAGGTTCTAAGACTACTCTATGCAGGAAGGAGTCTGCACTGTAATGTGCATTTAGGCCCTTGAAGACCTCCAAGTAGGAGAAGGTAGCACCTGTCAAGGCAAGCCATTCTACTTTTTAATAACTGTTGGAAAGTTTTTCCTGAAACCAAGCCTAAACTGACCTCTTAGAAACTTCTCTTCCTCTCTTCCCTCCCCTCCACCCGCATTGGGCCTGCTTCTGCCTTCTAGGGCCTAGCAGAAAAATCTAGTCCTTCCTTCACAGAACAGCCCTTCAGATAGTTGAGTGCTGCTTATGTCTCCCCCGAGTCCTCTCTACTCCAAGCTTACAATGTTCGGGCCCTTCAACCCACCCTCAGATGTCATCAACTCAAGTGATATCCTGGTAGCCCTCCTGGTCTCTCTCTAGCCAATCCAAGTTAAGAAAGAACATTGGTGCCTAGAATTGACCACAGCATTCCAGATGAGGTCCAATAAGGACCCCACATGGTGGGATTACCTCTTCCCTGTTCCTGGTAGCCTGGGCTCAATACAGCCATCGAAGGATCACATTTGCTTTTGGGGCTGCCACAGCATGTGCTGCTGGCTTGTTATGTATGACCTTGCTGTCTGCTAAAGCCCCCAGGTCCTTTTCTTTCTTTTTTTTTTTAATTAATTTATTTTGATTTATCAATAATCACTTCCATATGCTTTTGAGTTTAAAATTTTTCTCCCCCTTCCTCCTCACCACCCTCCCCAAGATGGCGCACAATCTGATATAGGCTATACATTTACATTCATATGAAACATATTTTCACATTAGTGATGTTGTAAGTAAAAATGAAAATCAATAGGAGAAACCATCAGAAAGAGGAAACAAAACTCAACAGAAGAGAAAAAATATAGCAACTCAACTTCCATAGTTCTTTCTTTGGATGTGGATAGCATTTTTCATCACGAGGCCTCTAGAGATGTCTTAGATCCTTGTATTGCTGAGAAGGGTTAAGTTTATCACTACTAGTCATCACACAACATGGCTGTTATTGTGTACAACATTCTCTTGGTTCTGCTCACTTCACTCAACATCAGACCGCACAAGTCTTTCCAGGTTTTTGTGAAGTCAGTCCCAGGTCCTTTTCAGAACAACTGCTGCCAGGGGCAGCTAGGGGGCACAGTGGATAGAGCACCGGCCCTGAAGTGAGGAGGACCTGACTTCAAATCGCGTCTCAGACCAAACACTTGATACTTACTAGCTATGTGACCCTGGGCAAGTCACTTAACCCCAATTGCCAAAAAAAAAAACGATTCAGAACAACTGCTGTCTCTCCAGGCTTCTTCCATCTTATGTTTGGACTTTATCTATGAGACCTATTTCTTTTAAGACCTATAGAGCAAGTGAATTGAATTCATCTGGGGCCATTAAATGCTGTTGTCCTTGGGCACCAGCTCCATGAGCCATTTTTGTTCTGCTTACTCTTCCAGAGTAAAGTCATTCTCCTTTACAGTGAAAACAAAAAAGAATTCAGCGCCCCATCCACCCCAGGCAAAGGTGCTATCCCTTCTTCAGTCCTCCCTTTTCTCCCAATATAACTAAAACAAGTCCTTTTTTTTTTTCACCAGCTTCCATTCATCCTGAGCTTTAGCATTCCTGATGCTGTTTTTATAGGACCATGACAGAGTTTTCTGTTCTTCTCCTGAGGCCTGAAGACTTAAGTTCTAAATTAACCCAACTAAGTTGGGTTCTCTGTTCATCCATATCGGTTTCTTCAGACAAATGCCATTTTTCCTTTTCATTGGGAAACCCTAACCCTTTTTTGTCTTCAAAATTTTCTTCCTGAGCCTCTCCCATCCCTACTGGGCAGACACCCACATTGAAATAAGCTTTCCTGAAGTCTAGGTTACATGGCAGACCATACACAGTTGCCTTTTCCATGTCCATCATAAACTATAGAATGGAGTGGCCCTCTCCCCCCCTCCCCCAGGTTCTTATCACTTTTCCCACAGCAAATAGAATTAGATCCCTTGTTTCCCCTTGTTGGTTTCTCTGCCTTCTGAAGGATGAAATTACTGCTAAGGAAAATCTTGGACTGCTCTGCCTTTGACAGAGATTGTGCTCCAGCAGATGGCTGGATAACTGGGAGCCCTCCATCCCTGTTCTGTTGGGCCTCTGGGCTCGGCTTGTGATCTCTTTTCCAAACTGCTTATCTCTCTCGCTCTCTCTCTTTCTCTTGTTCGAGGAGTTAGTACTATATTCTAACCACAAAAATCACTCTTTCTCCCTCCTTTGAACTTTAACCAAACATTCTTCCTCTCTTCTGGTTCCTGGATTTCCTTCTTAATATCCTCCCTCCAACCCCAACCCCTCTTTTTCCTCTTCTGTTTCTTTTGAATAAGGTATTCAGAGCAATGGTCAAGACATGGGCTTCATCCCACCAAATTTCCATTATACCTATGGGGTCAAATTTGTCCCCTTGTGGTAGGATCTCTAATTCTTAGTGTCTGTTACCTAAACTTTAGGCATTTGAAGCCATGGGTTTACTACTGTCTCCTTTCTTGGTCAACCTCTTCATGTGGAAACAGTTCTCCAAATTGAGGTCAAGCTGGCCAGGCCCATAGTGATTGCTAGTCATTTTTTTAATGCTACTTTTTTCACTCAACAAAAATTTACTTTCTTAGCCTCCCACTTCAACTTCCACTACCTCCCCTACCTCCCCCATCCCCGACTTGAGAGATAAAGAAAAACAAAACTGGTTACAAACATGGAAACAAATTTCCTGCATTGGCAATTTGTCCAACAAAACCCTTGTCTCATTCTGTACCCTGAGTCCTTCACCTTTATCAGAAGATGACTCATGTTTCATCATGAGCCCTCTGGAATCAGGGTTGGTTGGGCTTTACACTGATTAGAATTCCTCATTCTTTCAAAGGTATTTGTCTTTACCATATTATTTACCAAAGTCCATAGAGTTTGTTTTGTTTAGGATTAATCCCTCCCTTAAACTGTCCCCTCTCTAATTCTCTCATCACCTTCTTCCCCTGAGCCTCCTCTGTTCCCTGTTAGTAAAATGTCTTTGTGTACCCAGTTCTGTCTCTAACCAGTTCAGACGAATAAGGTTAAACTGTCGGCCTGTCCTCACCACCCCGATTATGTGAGATCTTTTCCCCTAACCTTCCTTTCCTTTTCTGTCTTCTTCAGTGTATTCTTCTTCCCCTCCATTCAGTTCATCAAGGCCTAACAGAACTTTTCCCAGGCTTCGTCTAATTAGACTCCTCCTCCAACCCCTGATGATGATAGATAGGGTTCAGAGGAGACACGTGTATCATCTCCTCATATTTGGTTTTTTTATTAATTTATTTTAATTTATCAATAATCACTTCCATATGCTTTTGAGTTTAAAATTTTTCTCCTCCTTCCTCCCCACCACCCTCCCCAAGATGGTGCACAATCTGATATAGTCTATACATTTACATTCCTATTAAACATATTTTCACATTAGTGATGTTGTAAGTAAAAATGAAAACCAATAGGAGGAACCATCAGAAAGAGGAAACAAAACTCAACAGAAGAGAAAAAAAAATAGCAATTCAACTTCCATAGTTCTTTCTTTAGATGTGGATAGCATTTTCCATCACTAGGCCTCTGGAGATGTCTTAGATCCTTGTATTGCCAGGAAGGGTTAAGTTTATCAATATTAGTCATCACACAACGTGGCTGTTACTGTGCACAATGCTCTCCTGGTTCTGCTCACTTCACTCAGCATCAAACCATACAAGTCTTTCCAGGTTTTTCTGAAGTCAGCCTGTTCATCATTTCTTATAGCACAATAGTATTCCGTCACATTCATATACTACAACTTGCTCAACCATTCCCCAGTTGATGGGCATCGTCTCAATTTACAATTCTTTGCCACCACAAAAAGAGCTGCTGTGAATATTTTTGTACATGTAGGTCCTTTTCCCATTTGTGTGATCTCTTTGGGGTATAGCCCAAGAAGTGCTATTGCTGGGTCAAAGGGTATGCACATTTTCATCTCATATTTGAATGTAATAACAATAATAAACATTTATGTAGCATTTACTACGTGTCAGGGACCGTACCAAGTACTTTACAAATATCTTCACAACAACCCTGGGAGGGAGGTGCTATTATTATCTCTACTTTTACAGATGGGGAAACTGAGGCAGACAGAGGTCTTCGAAGTGACTTGTCCAGAGTCACACATCTAGTCAGTGTCTGAGGATGTATTTGAACTAAGGTCTTATATTTAGATCTGGCACTCTGTCCACTGTGGTGCCGCCAGCTGCCTTGTTCATTCATACATTTATTTACCATTTGAGTTTTCTTTTAATTCCTGGGTTTGAACATCAACATTTCTCTGCAGCACTGGTCTTTTCATCAGGAATACTTGGAAGCCCTCGATTTCATTAATTTTCTAGTTCATTTCCTTTTTCCTCCTGAGGCTTCTAATCATTTCACAGCATACAAATACAGAGTGTTGGTAAAGAAACCATCTTGGCTATGAGCCATGGTAGGTCATTATTTTGTTTTGTTTTTCACTGGGAAATTGGGAGGGAGGCCTTTGTGGTGGGTTTAACAGCTCAGTGGACTGCAGCAGCAAGGAAAGCTGTTACAATCCTAAACTTCATTCAGCGAAGCAGGGCATTGCTCTTTGAGTGACCAGCCCGGCCCACCCCTATTTGCCCATCCAGAAGACTGGGCGGCTCTGGGCACATTTGAGAAAGCTGGCATATGCCCAAACAAGACAGCAGTGAAAGGACTTGGGAGGCTAGGACCAGTGTTTTAGAATATGTGAAGACTAACATTGAGGAGGATGATTTGACCTCTACTGCTTGGTCTCAGAGGAGCAGGAGCGATGGGGAGATGGGAGGCAAATTTAGGTTTCTTTCAATGATGTAAAGACAGCCAGTTACTAACCATCCAAGAGTGACTTGGGCAGCACAGAGAGGAGGCTAGTTGGCTCTAAGAAGAGCTTAAGGGGGTCTGGAAGCAGAGGCCTTGTGCCCATTTCTCAGCTGTGTTGTAGTGTGGCTTCTTGCTTAGGTATGGATGACTTGGCCCCGGGCGGCCTCAAAGACCCTTTTTTAATGCAGACATTCAGGGATTTCACAAACAGCCCAGTGAGGTCATTATGCCTGGGTTGTTATCTTCATGCAATGGATGAGAAAGGGTTAGACTTGAAACTACATGTACATGACTTGCCCTTAGGACAACATTGTCACAACCAACAACTTTGAAAGCCTTAGGAACTCTGATCAGTGCAGTGACCACTAGCATTCTGGGGAACTAATGATTATGCATATTACCCACCTCCTGAAGATGGAGACTTAAGGGATATGAACAGTATATGAATTTTTTTTGGTGAACTGTGCATATTTGTTACAAGGGTTGGGCTTTTTTTTCTGGGGGAGGGGGAATTAGAATAAATAAATTCTTGTTCATTGAAAAAAATGTTTGAAGAAAATTGTTCATATATATCTATCAGAGAGTGGCTTTTATTCTTGTAAATTTGAATTTGGATGTGAAAACTATCAGAGAAATGCTGTAAAGACTTTTTCTCTAGTTAACTTTCCCTTTTAATTTTTGCTACATTAATTTTGTCATTCAAAATCTTTTTTATGTGATCAGGATTGTCCAGTTTAACCCTGTGGTTAAACTCTCCTGGTTTGGTCATAAAAGCAGATGCCTTGCCCTGTCAATATCTACAAAAGGTAGCTTTCTTGTCCCTCCAAGTTGTAACCTATGTCTGTTGTGTATCCATTTGAAGCTTATCTTCATGTGACTTGAGGCATTGTTCTAACTCTAGTTTCTACCAGATTGCTGACTGTTTTCCCAGCAGGTCTTATCAAATCGTGAGTCCTTGGAGCCTTTGGGTCCATCCAACACTGTTAATGTGTTCATTTGCTTCTGTACACTATGTACTTAGTGTATTATACTTATCCTTAGAGTTCAAGTTAATTTTGATAATTGATGCTTTGTAGCATAGTTTGAGATCTGATACTTCCTTCCCCCTTTTTTCCATTGTTTCTCTAGAGATTCATTTTTCTTGTTTTTGTAGCTCTTTTAAAATAATCTTTTTGATAATATACATGGCACTGAATTTTTCTCCATTTGTTGGGTGTGTTGTTATTTCTGTAAATATTTGTAGTTTTGTACAAAACTTGGTAGGCAGATTCAAATATTTTCTGTATTCCATAGTTATTTTTAATGGAATTTCTCTTTTTCTTTCTTCCTGCAGTATTTTGTTGGTAATTGACAGAAATGCTGATGATTTATGTGGATTTCATTTCTATTCTTCAGCTTTGCTGAAATTATTATTTTAGCTTCTTTTTAGTTGACTTTTTTGGGTTCTATCATATCATCTGCAAAAAGTGATCATTTTGTTTTCTCTTTGCCTGTGCTTAATCCCTCAACTTCCTTTTCTTGTCTTGTGGTTCTAGATAATTTTCCTGTTATTATATTAGATAATAGTAGTGTTAATGGACACCTCTAGCTTAGCCTTGGTCTCATTGGAAAGGCTTCTACCAGCATTTCTCCTTTACATAGAGTTTTAGATAGATGCTACTTAGGCAACCAGGTGGCAGAGTGAATGTTGGACTGAAAGTCAAGAAGATCTGAGTTCATATCTGCCCATACATATATATTAGCTGTGTGGCCTAGGGCAAGTCACTTCCATCTGCCTCCATTTCCTTATCTGTAAAATGGGGATAATTATAACACCCAATGAGATATTTGTAAAGCACTTTGCAACCTTAAAGTACTATATAAATGTGTGCTCTTATTATTGTGACCAGGACGTTTTTTTCTGAGGCTCTGCTTGGGCTTTAGAAGTTAACTCTTGTAGATTTACTTCTTGGAAAACCTCTCAGTATGTATTTCTTCACTGTTGTTGGGATTTTCTTCTACCTCAGTTTCTGGATTGGGCTTTTGTGGTTGGGTCAGACTCTGCCCTCTTCAGTTCTCTTAGATATTGTGAGCAGACCCTACTTTGTTCTAGGTAGGACAACTAAGATGGGGCCCACCTTCTGAAATTCTTGGCTTTTGTCAGTCTCTCTGTGGTACAGCTTAGGTTTGGGCCTTGGCTCCTTCTCTGAACCCAGAATAGCCTTTGTCCCTTGCTGTGAACTGGACAGGCCCAGTCAAGATGATGTTTGTACTGGTAGCAGGATTCCTGCTTGATCCCTGATGCTTTGCTTCCCAGATGGTGCCCTGACTCTATCTCCTACTCTTGGTCCATGCTGCTTACATGCTTTGCTTTCAATCTACCCTGGATGGAGGGAGCTTATAGCTTTTTGCTTGTTTTCTTTATCATTGTTCCCTTTTTTTAGAGCTTTGTTGGGGTGTCTCTAGGGCATGTGGGCTCCTCCTCTAGGCCGTAACTCACCACCATCTTCACATAGTTTTCTTTGAACAAGATGGTAGGGCTAGTGGCAGTTAGAACTATGACTTGGGAGTTTTGAAGCCTGGGTCCAAGCCCCAGCTCCATTCTCAGCTTGCTGTGTGAGTGAGCTTGACTGAATTCCTGCCTAGAAGTTGAGAACCATACAAAACCTTCAGTCTCAGTGGCATCGCTTTGGGAATAGTCTGTGTGCTAGAGATGCTCTTTGACACCCAAGGATGGTAAAGTTGACCAGCCCTTCCTTTCCTCTGTTTCCCAGGCTTGTGCTGACATATGACAACCTCTTTGGCCCATTCCTGACTATCAAGTAAGTGCTGAGGGCAGAGGTGGTGGGGGAAAGAAAGCTTTGGGCAGTCTCCACTGATCATCTGACTTTCTCTCCCAGGTTTATCCTGAGCAGTCATTTCTACCCCGTTTCAGCCCGAAGCTGGTTCACCATGGATCGACTAGAGATTCACACCAACAACTCAGTTGTTGTCTTCAATTCTTCACATGTCACAGCACCTAGCATCTATTCCTTCCACTGCCAGTATGTTAGCACTGAACATTCAAAGGAAGGTCTCCTAATGTCTTCTCCTGGTTCCTCTACCTGGCATGTGACTTTCCAAAATTTCCAGGTAGGGTGAAAGGAGCACAGATGGTGCGGTCCAGTCAGGAGATGGGGAGTACGTGTTACATTCTGGCGAGGGAGGAATTGCAAACACTCCCAGTTAAAGAGGAAAGTCCCCAGAGGGGAAGGGATCAAGGGCCCAAAGTGAGAATGGCCACCTTTTCATCACAGACTGGGGCAAGGGGAGAGAAGTTGGGGAGGGTGATGAGGGGATTTGAGGTGTAGAATTAAGGAGTGTAAGGAAGCTCACAATGGATGGCATCCATTTTCTCTTTAAAATGATGCACGAGGTCCTCTGTTAAGGGATGGAAGGTGGGAAGAGTGGTGGAAGTGAGTCAGTTAAGGAAGAATAAAAGGATTGCTCTTTGGTAGTGAAAGCTCAATTGAAATTAGAGAATAGCAAACTGAAGTTAACTCTGCACTGTTAGGATTAGAGAGAACAGATAGGGGGTGGGGTGGAAGGGTGGGATGAATCTAAGGTTGGAATTTGGAAAGCCATGAATAGGACAAGGAAGGCACAAGAGATCTGAGTACAGAGAGGAACCCAAAGTTAAACTGAATAAATGAGGGAGGAAAAGTGAGACTAGAGCAGAGGCAGATGGTGATGCAGTGAGAAAGCAGGGAGGAGTAGAATGACTGGAAATTGAGTTGAAGATGAAGCATAGATAAAGGGAAGGGGTAGAAGGTACAAGAAGAGGAAGCCAAGAGGAATTTGAGTCCTACATCATATAAGTAGAACGTTGAGGTCAGAGGTTGGGGTGAAGAGGAAGACTGAACTCCTTGGGAAAGAAGAGGGAGGTGTGGAGTAGGGTGGCTTATCTTCATGGAGAACCTCAAAGGAGAGAGATGGGTAAATGATGGCCACAGTGGCACAGAATTTGGCTATGAGAGCAAGGAGTATTCATACCCTTCTTCCTGACTGCATGTCATCTTTTACATAAGCTGGGAACATCATAAATAGCCTGGTTAAGATACTCAGGGATATAAAAACCTCTTCAGTTCTTGGGTCCATCCACTTTCCTCCCGTCCCCACCATGTTAGTCACAAATGTAAAGGCTAGTGTTCCTAGCACCTACTCCAGAAATATCTTGCTGGACCCTGGCTCTGGTGAGTGGGAGGGGAGAGGGGGACCTCCCCCACCACACACACAGTTCCATTTGGATTCCATGGACCTGGGCCATGCTCAGTGGTTTGATTTCTTGTCTCAATTTTCTTTCTTCTCTTCAAGATTCAGGCCTTTAACTTGTCTGGTGGAAACTTCTCCTATGCCAGTGACTGTGCCAGCTTCTTCTCCCCTGGCATCTGGATGGGCATGGTCTCCTCTCTCTTCATGCTTTTCACCTTCACTTACGGACTGCACATGATCCTCAATCTCAAGACCATGGATCGCTTTGATGACCACAAGGGGAGCACTCTCTCTGTGCCCCTCATGGAGTGACCCCCTCAGTCATACAGGGAGGCCAGAAGGGTTGGAGGGGCAGTCATATATTGACTTTGCCTCCTCCCCGTGGAAGGGCTGCCAAGCTACTACTCATTTGTGCTTCCTCGGTAGCTAGGCCTCCCTATACCTATTTCCTCTTGCTCCTACCCCCAGTTATCCCAGAGTCTGTTGTTACCCTTCCCCTACCCTTTCCACAGTAACAAAAAGCAGTGTCTGCGTCTGACAAATACCGGGGTGAAAACCTTGGAGGCTAGCGTTTAGCTCTGCCTCTGAGATAACCTTGAGGCAGCACACAGAGAGTGAAGGATTATCTGAGGCCACTTTCTTTCCTTGCTGCTGGCTCCCTACCCTTATTTATTCTCCCTAAATCCCTGCCCTCAGGTCTAGCTGCTTTGTCGTGTGAGATGTATTCTGGGGATTAGTCAAAATGACCTGTGGTTGGAGGGGAACTCAAGGTGGGGAGGGGGTGTGGACTTGAAACTTGCTTATTTGTCTTGTTATTTGCCTATTGTTTTGTCTTTTAGTTTTTGGTGATGCTAAAGTTGGATGTGATAAGAAATTGAAATAAAATTTTAACTAAGCCTCCATGGCAGTGCTATTTGTATTAAGTGTGGTTTTGTTTCAAGAGGACAGAGATCATTTGGCCTAGGCATTGGTGGGGAGTTCACCAGTGGGTTATGGGTTGTTCTCCCCGCTTTCCCTCTATCCACATAGGGTATCATACCCTTATCTGCAGATACTCTACCCAAAGGAATATAAATTTTAATCACTGAGAACTAACAAGATATCTTTAGGTTTATGGGCTAGATTTTTTAAATCTAAACCCTTAAACCCAAATCACTTTGGCTCTCATCAATTGGCTAATAATAGGTCCCAGCCCAAGCCTCACTTTGTCATTGTTTGGGCTCTGATGGCTCAGAGTGAGTATAGCAATTGTTTCTATTTTGGCCAAAAACCCTGAGGGCCTTCCCCTCCCAGGTTGATTTTGTTTTTTGTTTTGACTAGGTAAAAGAGGCCATTTTTTGCCTCTTTTATTACCTAGCCTTAATCACTGAATGGGCGTTGCCTCAGTCAAACTTTGACCCCGGAAAGACCTTAGCTTACAAAGGCCAAGGTTTCCCACCGCATCTGGGGCCATCCTCAGTCCTTCTGATCTATATGTTGCCACTGCACCCAGATGGCTCCGGAGAAGAGATTGAGGCGGTTTATTTTGCACAGCCCTCCCTCACTTAAATCCAATTCACTTGCAAGTCATGACATCACCTTCCTGATGTCATGGTTCTCTTTGAGAAAGAAAGACAAATGAAAACAAAGTCCTGAGGTTGGAAAGGGAACTCAAGGTGGGAAGGGGGTATGAACTTGAAACTTGCGTATTTATCTTGTTATTTGCCTATTGCTTTGTCTTTTAGTTTTTTGGTGATGCTAAAGTTGGATGCGATAAGAAATTGAAATAACATTTTAACTGAGCCTCCATGACAGTGCTGTCCATTTGTATTAAATGTAGCTTTGCTGAAGCAAAGATTCCTCTGTCAAGAGGACAGAGATCATTTGGGCTAAGCATTGGTGGGGAATTCACGAGTGGTTGTTCAGTCATGTCTGACTCTTCATGGCCCCATTTGGGGTTTTCTTGACAAACACATTGGAGTGGTTTGCCATTTCCTTCTCTAGATCATGTTATAGATGAGGAACTGAAGCAAACAATGACTTGCCCAGGGCTGGATTTTAACTCAGAAAGATTTCCTGTTTCCAAGCCCAGTGCTATGTCCACTGCACCACCTAGTTGTCCAGGGGTTATGGGAGTGGAGCCAAAACAAGTGGTCTTAACCTGGGGTCGTTGATACAATTCAGGGAACCCTTTAAATTTGACTAGGATAAAAAAAAAAATTATTAGCTATGATTGGTTTCCTTTGTAATATTTTGTGCATTAAAAAACATGATTTTGAGAAGGGGTCCGACACAAAGATGGAAAACCTGTGGGCTGAAAGAATTATTGGAACAGAATGAGTGGATAGCTGTAGCTGAGTGCCATCTCTCCCAGTCCTGGGAAGAGAGGCAGTGCAAATAGTTCATTGGTGGGGTAAATTGGGCATGATGGTTGGGGTTGTTAGGGAAGCTGGAAGGAGGAAACCTAGGCACAGGGGAGGGAAGGGTCTTTCTTGGCCCTCCAAAGCTACCTTTGGCTGATTGGTCTGCAGCCTAGGCCTAGACCAGATTTGCCCCTTAGGGATTTGGGGAGAAGGGACAGGAAAAGACAAAGCTGAGTCATGGGAGGGTGCGGGGTGCTGAAGATAGCGACTGTAACCTCTCTCCTGCAGAGGGCTGAGGATTCTGTGAACATGCCCCACCCAGGCTTGGAGCATACTCCCTCCCCCTCCGTAGCACCTGCGCCCCCAGGGAAGGAGGGAACCCGCCCCCCCCCCACAACCATTTGCTAGCGGTGAAGGGGACAAGGGCGCTTTCGTTGACCCTCCTCTTGACAGCCTTCTGGTGGGGGAGGTCTCTTCCCCCCAAGCGCCCCCCCATCCTCACTCCCCCCAGGGCAGTTCCTCCCCTCAGGTTCTCCCTCCTGAGAACAGCCCCTCCCCACAGCATCTCCGTGGGTAAGAAGATGCGGGCAGAAGATGCGGGAAGGGGCGCGGATGGATCCCTCTCTTGGTCTCTTCACGGGCCCCCGAGCCTCTCCTCCCTCCCCTCCCCCTCCGCAGAAATGAAAGAATTCCCATAGTGAGACCAGGCCCCTCGTAGCCCCTGGCCCAAGCATTCTGGAAGCCGGCCGGCCGTGTCCGTAATCAGGCGTGGTCCACGGGGTGACAGGGCGGCGTCGGGAGCGCGGAAGAATCGGGACTCTTTGGGACAGCGGAGGGAGCTAGTGGAAAGGTGGTGCTCAGCCCGCCATCTTTGGTCCATTTCAGAGGCAGCGGTGGCAGCGATAGCAGCAGTCGCAGCGGCAGCGGCGGCAGCAGCAGTGGGATCGTCGGCGAAGCCGGGAAGCGGACACCAGCCGAGCCCTGCCGAGCGGAGCCATGGATGAGGAGTACGATGTGATCGTGCTGGGCACTGGCCTCACGGTGAGTCGGGGATGGGGGTAAGACACTGGAATCTTGGAAGCAGGACTGGGACGCGGCGCCGCAGCTGAAGAGGAGCTCCGATGGGAATGCAGCACCCCGCCCCCGCTCCCCCTCAAGCTCAACGGCCCCTCCTTTCTTCCCTCCAAAAAAGAGAGCCTTCTCCTCTCCCCCTCCCCCACCCAAAGCCTAGGTTCCCTTTCCCCCGGGCCCAAAGGCTGACCTCCCCCCAAAAGAAAATTAGACTCTTTCTCTCCCCACCACAAGGCCAGCCCCCCGAAAGTGTAGCCTCCTCTCCCCACCCTTTCAACCCATCCCCATCATGACCTTTCTTCCCCTATGTGTGCAGCCTCAGTGTCCTGTGATTCCTGTATGCCTTCGTTTCATTCTTTCTCTCTCGAGTTTTTCCCTTCTATATCCCCCAAATCAGGGCTACCTTATTTCACGCCAACCCTGAGGTTTACAGATAGTCCCTTCCTCAGCCCTCTCCCCTCCCCCCATTTTCTTGGAGTGTTTGCCTCAGCCCTACCCACAGAACCACAGAGTATCTTATGTACCCCATCACCACAACTCTGTTCCCCAAGATGATAAGGATATCAAACCCTCTGGCAGTAGAGGTTGGAGGCTTCTACCCTCAAGTATCCTACCACAGAGTAGGGGACAGAAATAATCCTACCCACTTTCCCTTCCTCTGGGTTGGGGTATGAGACAGGACAGGCCTGGTGTGTTCGTTACCGCTGTAATGGTTAAATGCTGTACGTAGGTTCAGACCATCAGACATGTAATAGCTGTGTGGCCCCAGTTAGTCATTTTACTCTCTATTCAATTCATTAGTTTCCTCTTCTGTAAAATTAGTACCTCCCAGCTCTAGAGCTAGTCACCTACAAGATGGTGGCCTGAGGGCATGGGCAGGGTTGCATTGCCCCTACCACATAAATATTCACTGATCTTGTGGGAGAATACCTGGGAGTGTGAGAAATAGGGTTCTTCCTGTGCCTCAAGACTAGGAAAAGTAGGCCCAGGGTAGGGCCCTTGTAATATGGTCTTTCTCTGCTTCCAATGGCACCTGTGAGCTGTGTAGCTGTGTTTGTCGACATTCTTATTGCTTCCTGGAATGGGATGTCAGGGTCAGGAAAAGGGGGAGTTGTTTCTCCACTGCTTGCCTTCACCTTGGAGCCCAAATGGCTTTCCCCTAAAAGCTGCGCCATGAAGAGATTAAGGGAGGGATGGAAACCTACCTCTCCAACCTTTTGTGTGTCTGGTCGGGGGGGAAGGGGAGGGGCTCTCTTCTGCCCCTCCCCCGCTTCGGTCTTAAGGTAAAGGAATAGAGTGCTGAGATTTCCGTGCTGGTCTTGGGAGAAGGTAAATTCACATTCTTTTTCCCCTTTCCTTGCTGGTCTCTCCCTCCAGGAATGTATTCTCTCTGGTATCATGTCTGTGAATGGGAAGAAGGTGTTGCACATGGATCGGAATCCTTACTATGGGGGTGAAAGTTCCTCTATCACACCCCTGGAAGAGGTGAGGTGACCTGCTCCATTTTTCCCAGACTCCATTGTCCTTTATAGTCTGACTTCTATGGCCTGATCAGCTCTACAAAGTCTCAATGGGAGGGTTTTGGAGGTGAGGCTGACATGGAATGAATCCTCCCTTTTCCTCTTCTTTGTCTCTCTCTGCTTGTAGTTGTTCAAACGGTTCGACCTGCCTGAAGGGCCTCCCGAAAGCTTGGGAAGGGGCCGAGACTGGAATGTTGACTTGATCCCCAAATTCCTCATGGCCAATGGTGAGTGGCAGGATATAGCTGGTGGTAGGTGATGTAGGTAGGACAAGGTGGGTGAATTTGGGGAAAGGGCTCAAGGGCAAACAAGTGAATGGGAAAGGGCCATACACATGGAAATGTCTCTCTTCCTCTCCCCATACTGTCACAGGCCAGTTGGTGAAGATGTTGCTGTACACAGAAGTGACTCGTTACCTAGACTTTAAAGTGGTGGAAGGCAGCTTTGTCTACAAGGGGGGCAAGATCTACAAGGTGCCATCTACTGAGACTGAGGCCTTGGCCTCCAGTGAGTGTCTCTAGTGTTTTTCATCCCAGTTATCAGGGGAGACCCTGTCATACCCCTGAGAGCTCTAAGGTTGACTGGTTTCATGATACAGATGGGAAAAGTGACTTGTCCAGGATACTGGGGAAAAGCCTGGGGTATATATTAGGGAGTCATAGGTGGAGTAGGCAGAGCTTACCCATTGACAGAACTCAGGTTTAGATGTGGATGCTTTCCAGAGGGGTTAAGCAAGCAATATCAGAAGCACAAAATGTATGCAAAATACATACAAGGAAATTTAGGGAGAAAGGCTGGCCACTAATTCGGGGGAGCATCAGGAAAGGTTTCATGCATGTGTAAAGGCACAGGGATAGAAGATATGGCAGTGAGGAGACCAGTTTGGAGTTCTCAGCATTGTTAGTTGATTGATAAGGTAAGCTGGGGCTAGGCCAAGTAGGACTTGAAAGCCAAACTTATTCTAGAGGTAATGGGCAGCCATTGCAGTTTGAGTAGGGGAATAACATGGTCAGATCTTGCTTAATTAAGATCATTTTGGCTGAGAAACTGATTAGGAGGCGATGAGGTGATATGGGCCTGTACATGAGAGATGTTGTAGAGCTAGAAACAGCAAGATTAGGCAGGTGATTGGTTTTGTGGGGTGATGGGGAGTGAAGAGTTGGGAATAATAGTGTCTTTGAAGACTGGAAGGATAGTGATGCCCTCGACAGAAACAGAAATGACAAAGTAATTTCTGAGAGGGGGACACAAGTCTAAATGTGAAAGGTAATTTGTTAACATTGGGATGAAGGTTCCAGAGGTTCTGATGAAAGGGTAGGGTAAGGGTTAGGGTTAGAGTTGATTTGATTATCAATACAGGTCCCTAACCCTGCATATAAGGGTCAAGGCAGGAACTCAGAGTTCTGAGAGCCAGTTTGTCATAGAAATTCGAGGTGTGTTTAAGGTACCCTCTAATCCTCAGCCAGGTCAGCTGTGCCCAACATTAGGGCTCACTCCAGTGTTGAGCAGACTATCTCCCATGGTAGTAGGGAAGGGTAGAATTTATAAATTAGGAAATTAAGGCCTGGAAATCACATAGTGACTAGCAGAACAAGACTAGACCTGGAGTCTCCTGCTTTCTAGTAGTGTTCTTTTTATCTCTAGTTCTTTCATAGTTTCTGCCCCCTTCTCACTGTGGTGGAAGGGGGGGGTGGGTTGGTAAAGAAACTTCTTTCTCCCTTAGACCTGATGGGCATGTTCGAGAAACGCCGATTTAGAAAGTTCCTGGTGTTTGTGGCAAACTTTGACGAGAATGACCCCAAGAGCTTTGAGGGTGTTGATCCTCAGACCACAACCATGCGAGATGTGTATAAGAAGTTTGACTTGGGCCAAGATGTTATTGACTTCACTGGCCATGCTCTGGCACTCTATCGAACTGATGAGTAAGAAGACATTCCTCCATTTCCCTTCTGGCCCCTTGCTTGACGTTGCACTGTACAAGCTTAAGGGCCCCCTTCTTTAACTGGCCATGTTCTACCACAGTCCCACAATGTTTTTTTTTATTGAACTAACTTCCTCTTTCCCTTCTTTCCTTTTAGCTACTTGGACCAGCCCTGCCTTGAGACTATTAACCGCATCAAACTCTACAGCGAGTCTCTGGCCCGGTATGGGAAGAGCCCATACCTGTACCCTCTCTACGGCCTGGGCGAGCTACCCCAGGGATTTGCAAGGTGAGGGGGGAGGGGAATGCAAGCAGAGGTGGGAGCATAGTAAGTATGTGAAAGAAATTATTCTCCAGTTTTGCTGTTGCTCTTTTTATTGTTAGCATTTTCCAGCTGGGGAAAACTGAGACTTAGCAAGGTTTGGCAGTATAGTGATTACCCAGCCAAGGAGGTTAGCAGCCCTGAGCCTAGGGTGATCTTTAATTGCTACCTCCTGGCTCCGTTCTCAATACCCAGTGCCTTGCTTTAGTACTGCTTTGCAGGCTCTTCACATTCCATGGTTTCCAGTTTGGAATTTTGTTCATATGGATGAGTGAGAGAGAAGTTAACTTAGCCTCACGAAAATACAGCCCTGTTAAAAAAAAAAACCAAACTAAACTAAACAGAATGAGTATTATTGATTTTCCCTGTTAGTTGGGGAAACTGAGCACTAGAGTGGGAATGTGATTAAGCCAAAGTCACACTCTTAGTCTGACAACTCAGTCCTGGGGACAGAGGGGCTCTCACCATTTACTCCCTTCTTACCCCAGATTGAGCGCTATCTATGGTGGGACATACATGCTGAACAAGCCTGTGGATGATATCATCATGGAGAATGGAAAGGTGGTAGGGGTGAAGTCAGAGGGGGAGGTAAGCTACACCATTCTTCTGGAGATCTCTCTTTCCTCCCATTCTTTCCCTTCTCTTCCCTCTCCTGCCCCCTCCCTCATTGCTGTCAAAGGGCCAAAGGTGGTTTTGACAAGTTTGAAATGATGGCTGGTACATTTAGCCTCATTTAGTCTTCAGTCCAAAGCTGGTTCCATTTTTTTTCTCTTGGGATAGCAGGGTTCTAGGTACTTTGGTTTTCATGACAGTACCAGTTCTAGGTTCTGAGTGTTGGGGAGAGATAAGGTAGAGCCACTGTTGGGAGCCTGGGCTTTGAATCCAAGCAGCCAATAAGAATAAGCCAGGATGCCAAGCTACCTATCCACATGGAGTTTCTAATCCTCCAGCTGCAAAAATGTTGAGAGGTGGTTACTGAGACTAGAGAACAGAAGGTGTCTGCCTTCATGTGAATTTCAGTCCAAGGTGAAGATCCCTACCTACTGGTGGAGACCTAGCTCAGCAGGTCAGGGTGCTGCTGTCCCCCTCTCCCACAGGTGGCCCGTTGCAAGCAGCTGATCTGTGACCCCAGCTACATCCCTGACCGGGTTCGAAAGGCTGGCCAGGTCATCCGAGTCATCTGTATCCTCAGCCACCCCATCAAGAACACCAACGATGCCAACTCCTGCCAAATCATCATTCCCCAAAATCAAGTCAACAGGAAGTCAGGTGGGCAGTGCTGGTGTAAGTGAGTGAGCATTTGTGGCAGTTTCCTTGTAGCTGGATCACTTGTAGTTTCTTTGTATCTGATTTCTCCCCCCATCATCTGATTTTTCACCTGCCTCATGGGGGAGATACTGTGGCTTACCAGATTCATGGGAGGTAACACACATCCAATAGATAGGGACAATGAACTCTTGGTTATCAATTGAATACAAATAGAGTGGTTGGATTCCAGCACCTGTAACTATGGCTGCCAAGGTTGTTTTCTGGGTTATCCATGACTTAGCCCCTTCTTAGCCAATTTTCTACCCTATCATATCCATATAGAAATTTATATGGAACGGAAGTGTAAAATTAACAGTAGCTATATATAGATGGATAGTGAGAGGTCGATTCTCATTAACTCATTTTTCTTCTCTAAGACATCTACGTGTGCATGATCTCCTATGCCCATAATGTGGCTGCCCAGGGAAAGTATATTGCTATTGTCAGCACCACAGTGGAGACAGCAGAGCCTGAGAAAGAGATTGAGCCAGCGCTGGAGCTGTTGGAGCCTATTGACCAAAAGTGAGAGGCTGGGGTGACTACTGGGAGGCTCCAAGGGGGCCAGATCTCTGTTCTACAAAGTTTTAATCTCCTTTCCCTCTGCCAGGACTTTGTCAGGGTGTGAGGGATCAGAGAAGTAGGATTGGGGTGGGGGAGGATGTGAGGAGTTCTAGGAGGGAATGTATTGGTGGCTGGGGAGTAGAGGGCAACTTGGGTGAACTCTCCCTCCTCTGCTCCTTAGGTTTGTGGCCATCAGTGACTTGTATGAACCAACTGACAATGGACTGGAGAGCCAGGTAACCACCTACCAGTGTTACATGCCACTTGTCCAGGTTGATTTTCCCCCTTAGGGAGGCTGGGATTAGTCCTGATCCAGACCAAAGGCAAAGTGGGAGGGTGTGGTGTGGTGTGGTGTGGTGTGGTGTGGCAGTGATGGGGCTCTTCTTATCTTCTGAGTATGGCTACCTCTAGGTATTCTGTTCCTGTTCTTATGATGCCACCACTCACTTTGAGACAACCTGCAATGACATCAAAGATATTTACAAGCGCATGGCTGGGACAGACTTTGACTTTGAAAACATGAAGCGCAAACAGAATGACGTCTTTGGAGAAGATGAGCAGTGATGGCAGGAAGTAATCCCTTTCCCATTAGGCCCTCACCACCTTCTCCTGCCTCCCTTAGCACTAAGTTTTCTTCTCTCCCTTCCTATTTTTATTTCTACTTTGGGGCTCATGGGGAAGGTTTGGATGGGGCACCTAAGTCAGTGATGTGCCCCTGCCTGCCCTCTTAATTCCTTCCTCTGCACCTTCCTGTTAGGAACCCTTCTCATTCATTCCATTTGTTGACTAAACCCTATCCTAGCAGTGAAAGATTGGCAGCTGGGGTACCTTTCTTCTCCCTGGCCTCTAACCTAGGGAGTCTAGACTTCATGGAGGGTGGGAGTTCTCCCATTTTCTCCATTATTTGTTACCTATCTCCCTCTCCCCTGCCCCCCAACACATACAACATTATCATTTCTGTGCTCTGCTCATCCTTACACAGTCCTTTTTTCCCCTTTCCCAAACTCCTTGCCTCTATGGTGCTTTTTTGGGGGGGGGAGGAAGGGGAGCCTAGAAAACGAAAAATGAAGCAGACATTTCCCTCCCATGTCTCAGGTGTTGACTACCCTGTCTGTCCCTATGCTTCAGTTCTCCCATGAACATGCATATACTTGCTGCTTCTAACAGCCTAATCACTTATCCTTTGTCTTGACTCTGCTGGGATGGAATTCGAGGGGGGTGGGGGTGGGGGGGGTACGGGTATGGGACACAAAGCTGCTGCTGCATTGAATTGTATTAACAGCCCTTTTTCCCTTAATTTATTTTAACTTATTAATATATCTTTCCATAGTGATGCCTCCCCTCCCGTTCCCCTTTCCCTAGGGTGCAGGAGAAGGAAGAAGAAAACTAATTTCATGCCCCCACCCCCACCCCCCTGCCCCGGTACTGTCGATGCTGTATTAATCTTCCCCTTATTTGTGGGAGAGGGAGCCCCTTTCCTAGTCCCTTTCCCCAGTGCAATGGCCACGTGATGGGGGAGCAGACAGACCGGACTTCAGAGAAATTTCTGAGGGAAAGTTTACAAAAGGAGGTGGGGAAAGGGACCAAACCCCTGAAATGGCCTGCTCTCAACCCCTAGCCCTCCCCCCACCCCCCCACGGAAAGTGGGGGGCGGGACCAAATGTCGACAAGTGACTGTGTGTGACTCCCGCTTACTGTGTATCGGACAGGAGAAACAAGTCCCCAATAAAGCCTGTTGAAAAGTCCCTCGGTCTGGCCATTACTGCAGGAGATGGGGCGGGGAGGAGGGGCCTCCGCGCACGCGCTCGCCCACGTTGCGTCACGTGCTCCCCCAAGGCCTCGGGCGGAGCTGAAACTGCGCTGTGGCTGCTGTTTCTCACGTGGTTCTGACGTGGCAGCGCGGCGGTGTTATCACAGACCTGTCGGCCGCAGGCGGTGGAGACCAGATTTCCTCCTCAGCCCCTGTGGTTTAGGGTGCCGCCGTCTGCCACTGCCATGGCTCGGTACAAGGGAGCCGCTAGTGAGGCGGGCCGCGCCATGCATCTCATGAAGAAGCGGGAGAAGCAGCGGGCGCAAATGGAGCAGATGAAGCAGAGGATCACTGAGGTGAGAGGGAAGGGAGGCCTCGGGAAAGGCGCTGGGCAGCGCGGGGCGCCTTTCGAGCATGCGCGCTGGCCGCTGGCGGGAGCCGGGGCGCCGCGGCCTCTGCAGCAGGCTGAGCTTGCGCGCGCGAAGCCCGCGGGCCCTCCTCTACCTGGGGAGGCCCACCCTGTGCATCTGCCGCTTCGCTGCGGCCTTCTCCCGTCTCACCCGGCCGAGGGGCGATACCAAGACCTGGCTGAGCACCCAGCTCGGCTGCCATCTTCGCCTGCTTCCCAAGGGAGAGGACGGAACTTGAGGCTTGTCCAAGCGAGGGCGAGCACTCTCGGGGCCCAGGCTAAAGACGCGTAATGAACCGACCCAAAGCCAAATCCAAAGCAGCCCTCCCTTTTCTGGCGGGACACCTGTTTTGCCTGCAACGGCAATTGCAGAGCACCAACCAAAGTTGGAGCGTTCCATGAGTCTGCACGATCTGAATAACTCCCGCTACTGCGAGTGGAGCCGAACCAAATGAAAGGGTCATTAGGAAGTATGTCACGAAATAAAAAAGAATGCAGTAGAATAGAGATCGTGTTAGCATGTGGTTTTCTAAGTCAGTAGAGGGCCAGCAGGGATCCCCACCTCCACCGGCCCCCAGCCCCTGGGTTTTATTGGAGTTTGACAGCCTTGACGCTAGGCTGCACGTCTTGGCCGCGAGGTGGCAGCACAGAGCCCTGCCCCTGGACGCAGGAGGCTAGAGCTGAGTAACCAGGCAGACATCTAGTAACTACAGTGATGTTGGGCCAGTCGTTAACTTCTGCCTGCCATAGTTTCCTTCTCTGGAATAGCAGCTACTCCCAAGGTGGTTACAAGGTTGTAAACCTTAAAGTGCAGTATAATTGTCAGCTCTTTTTATTATCTATCTCCCTTGGCTCATGGAATTCCTCCTGTGTCCAAGACACCTGGTCCCATAATTCCTCTGCTTGATTGTTTAAGAGCATCTCCATTGGCCCGGGATTTCATCACTGCCATCTCTAGGGCCATATGGTCCCTTCCTCTCCTGATAGCCAGGAGAGGCCTCGCAGATGTTCAGGCTTCTCCTCCAGGGAACTGAAGTCCATGTATCTCTGTGGAAGTAGCCCTTCCCTCTTTGGGGCTGGGCTCTGGCTTTAATTCTCCCTGCATTCCCTTTGTGATGTGGCTCAGGTGTTTAATAGAGAGTCTACTTCCACTGTATTTGGAGATACCCTTAATACCAGAACTAGGAAAACTTTTATACAGTATATATCTACTACATTGTATTGCAACCAAGTCCTCCTCAGTGCTGGCAGTGAGGTCCAAGAACAATGCCTAGGCATAATCTTCCCCCCACCCCCACCCCCCATCTCTCTAGTCCAGTCTATTTCACAAAATTGTTTAAAATATCTACTATGGGCAAAGCCTTGTGCTGGTCTAGGGATATAAGGACAACAAGAAACAATTCCTGCCTTTAAGGAATTTGTGTTGGGGAGTCAGGAAAGTAAAGAGTGAGGCAATCTCCACCCTCAAGGAGCTTACATTCTAATGGGGGAGACTACTCTATAGAACAATTGCAGCCAAGGAGGGTTGTTTTGACTTGGGAATCATAAGCTGATTGGAACACTAGGGGAGGTGAATTATATTCCCTTTCTCATAGCAATGACAATATTGATTTGATTCCAGCTCTCAGAGAAGATGGTGGGAAGAAGGAAGGGTGCAGAGTACCCAGGTTTGGAAGCATTGTACTTGGCAAAAAAAAAAATGGCCAGGATAGACTGTTGAGCCTGACTGATGCTGGCTAGATGTGATGGGCCATGGAAATTGGCATTCACTCTCCTGTCTGTTTAGTGGACGCCCAGAGTGGCTTTCCCAAGTCACTTAAAAGGTTAAGTACTGCCACCATTCCCTGTGGCCATGGCCTCTTTCAAGGCAGGGCTGATAGCTAAGAAATTATCCAGAGGAAGGCAGCCAGGATGGTGAGAGGCCTCAAGCACATGCTGTTGAAAGAACTGAGCCTGTTTAACTTGAAAAAGACTTGGGGACTGTTGGGATGGAATGGATAAGATAGTTGTCTTCAAGTGCAAAGCAAGAGGGATTTCACTTGTACTGGGAGCAATAGGTGTAGTTGTGAAGAGATACATGTAGGCTTGATGTAAGGAACAGCTTCCTATGCATTAGAGCAGGAGCATCAAACTCAAATGAGCGTGGCTGCAGATTGGCTTAGAAAACCACCTCTAACTGGTATTTCTATTCTAGTACATTGTATTTCCCAATTCCACAGCTATTCCTCTGGCTTCAGCATTAAAGTGATCTCAAAGCAAAGGCAGGATAACCACTTGCTGGGGCTGTCATAGAGGGGATTCTTCTGGTCCGGCTTGGATCAGGCGGCCTTAGGCTGCTGCTATCCATTGGTGAAATTTTACAACAGATATTTTTACTTTATTCAGCAAATGTTGAAGCGAACCGACTTATGGGCACTTTGGATCACATATTCCATTTCACGGGGATAAATGACTACATACTTGGTAATATTAGAAGTGAGGTATAAAATTTAAAGAAATAAACATTACATTGTACAATTCCAATTGAAAATGGATTACAGAGAAACATACATTATATATGAATTAATAAAGTGTCAGTTGCTTCTCATTGTATTCTTCTCAAGAGCTCATTCTGAGTACTGCCTAATTCTGTTATATGTTCAGTATACATGTCCCTGCTCCATCTGATCCCATCCCATAAGGCTAGCCTACCTTGGACTGATTTTTAATTTAAATAACACAATGTCATTAGAGGGATCCTATTCTCCTAGGGTCCTCATTTTCAGGTAACCTTCCTAAACCAAAGGCTGACAAACTATCAAATATTTCTCAGTTTTGCCAGCCCCTGGCTATCTGGATCTGGTTTTTTGGGGTTTTTTTGGGTTAGGTAGTGGGGTTAAGTGACTTGCCCAGGGTCATACAGTTAGTGAGGGTTATGTTCTGAGGTCAGATTTGAACTCAGGTTCTCCTGACTCCAAGGCTGGAGCTCTATCCACTGCGCCACCTAACTGCCCCCCCCCCCCCCAGATTGTTTGGAATACAGAGAATCTATTTTCAAAGGGTATGATAATAATGATAGTGATGGTACAATTCTTATTGTCTAATTCTTTTCTTAAGGCCTCTCCCAATCCTGGAATTGTTGAATTTACCCAAATCTCAGTGTTTCCTGGCACTTTGATAGCTTAAACAAGTCTGTTTGAAGTAGCTTTGTACCATCAGGTAATAGCCCCACTCAGTTGAGGGCCACAGTGGTAGAAGGCTTGTGTAGGAGTGTTTCATTTGGTGCCCCACATTAACAACAGTTCTAGTCTCCAAAACCAAATCTCCTGGCCCCATTCAATGGGGCAGGTTCCTTATTACCTTTTTTGTAAATTAAAATAGTCAGAGGTGACTGCCACTACTTTGGGACATAACTGTGTTTGTGTGATATATTAAAAACAATGATGAAAATATGCCCCTAAGTCAGGGGTGAAGCAAGGATGCCCATTATCACCACTATTATTCATTATTGTACTAGAAATGTTAGCTTTAGCAATAAGAGAAGAAAAAGAAACTGAAGGAATTAGAATAGGCAATAGGAAACAAAACTATCCCTCTTTGCAGATGACATGATGGTATACTTAGAGAATCCCAGAGAATCAACTAAAAAAGTAGTTGAAAAAATTAACAACTTCAGCAAAGTTGCAAGATATAAAATAAGCCCACATAAATCATTAGAATTTCTATATTACCAACAAAGTCCAGCAGCGAGAGATAAATTCCATTTAAAATAACTATAGACAATATAAATTACTTGGGAGTCTACCTGCTGAGACAAACCTAGGAACTATATGAACATAATTATAAAACACAAATAAAGTCAGCTCTAAATAATTGGGAAAATAGTAATTGCTCATGAGTAAGCTGAGCCAATATGATAAAAATGACAGTTCTGCCTAAATTAATCTATTCAATGACATACCAATCAAACTACCAAAAAATTATTTTATAAAGCTAGAAAAAATAACACAATTCATCTGGAAGGAAAAAGGTCAAGAATATCAGTGGGAAACAAAATGTGAAGGAAGGCGGCCTAGTCATACCAGATCTCAAATTGTATTACAAAGCAACAATCATCAAAACAATCTGGTGCTGGTCAAGAAATTGAGTGGTGTATCAGTGGAATAGATAGGTGCATAATATATAGTAGTGGATGACTTTGGGGACAAGAACTCACTATTTGACAAAAACTTGGGAAAACTGGAAAGCATTATGGTAGAAACTCGGTATAGACCAGTATCTTATATTACATATCAAGATAAGGTCAAAATGGGTACATGATTTAGACGTAAAGGGTGGTACCATAAACAAATTAGGGGAGCATGGAATAGTTTACTTGTCAGACCTGTGGCTAAGGGAAGAATTTATGACCAAACGAGATAGAGAGGATTACAGGATGTAAAATGAATAATTTTGTTTACATTAAATTAAAATATTTTTGCACAAGCAAAACCAATTAAGCAAAAATTAGAAGGAAAGCAGAAATCTGGGGGAAGGGGAAAGTTTTACAGCAAGTTTCTGATAAAGGCCTTTTTTCTCAAATAAATAGAGAACTGAGTCAAATTCATAAGAATAAGTCATTCCCGAATTGATAATGGTCAAAGGATATGAACAGGCAGTTTTCAGTGGAAGAAATCAAAGCTATAGGCATATAAAAAAAATGCTGTAAATCACTATTAATTAGAGAAAAACACATTAAACATCTCTGAGGTACCACCACACACCTATCAGATTGGCTAATAGGAAAATGGCAAATGTTGGAGGGGATATAGGAAAATTGGGACACTAATGCATTGTACTGGTCCAACCATTCTGGAGAATGATTTGGAATTATGCCCAAAGAACTATCAAACTGTACATATCCTTTGAAGCAGCAATACCACTACTAGGTCTGTATTCCAAAGAGATTAAAAAAAAGGGAGAAGGACC